TTTATACCAGTTTTTTCCAAATTTATCATGCACTATGGAAAAGCAACAGTCGTTGTTTTAATGGAGCAGTGCTCTCAGAAGAGTGGAACCATGTTTTCTTCCATATGTGATACAATGTAATATATGGCTCAATTAGAAACAAATAATACTAATCCAAGGTTTTTTTTCCAGGATATTCCAGGAACAATGAAAATTATTGCAGATTCCTCAGAACCTTGGGAGAATTTCATATCCGTTTGCAGGATCATTCACTTTGGAACAGATAGATAAAGTATGGAGCAATCAACAAAACGTAATACTAATCAAGGTTTTTTAGGATATTCCTGGATCGATGCAAACTATCTCTGACGAGATCTCTGATGTCTCAGAATCTCAAAGAGGATTTGCGAAAAATCCTTATTGGTTTGTACGACAGAATACTTCGAAACTCTACATTTGTGAATGTCATACCAGATAGATGAATGAAATGAAATTTTAAGATAAGTTTTCATAAACGTTAAATTTGTCTTGCCATTAATACAAATCCTAGTTCTATTCTTCTTCGAACATTCCTCCGTGAAAAAGCGGCTTTTATCGATTTACTAAATTCATTTCATCAGTCGAATAATTAGTCGACATTCAATTATGTGAGTGTATGGAATCACGTCAGGTACCCTTACGAGGGGAGTGTATCAACTTTGGCGTTCGTAATGCCTCTCTACAAAGGAGGGTGTCGCCTTCAAGAGTTAGGTATAAACAGTGGTTTTATACCAGTTTTTTTCCAAATTCATCATGCACTATGGAAAAGCAACAGTCGTTGTTTTAATGGAGCAGTGCTCTCAGAAGAGTGGAACCATGTTTTCTTCCATATGTGATGCAATGTAATATATGGCTCAATTAGAAACAAATAATACTAATCCAAGTTTTTTTTTCAGGATATTCCAGGAACAATGAAAATTATTGCAGATTTCTCAGAACCTTGGGAGAATTTCATATCCGTTTGCAGGATCATTCACTTTGGAACAGATAGATAAAGTATGGAGCAATCAACAAAACGTAATACTAATCAAGGTTTTTTAGGATATTACTGGATCGATGCAAACTATCTCTGATGTCTCAGAATCTCAAAGAGGATTTGCGAAAAATCCTTATTGCTTTGTACGACAGAATACTTCGAAACTCTACATTTGTGAATGTCATACCAGATAGATGAATGAAATGAAATTTTAAGATAAGTTTTCATAAACGTTAAATTTGTCTTGCCATTAATACAAATCCTAGTTCTATTCTTCTTCGAACATTCCTCCGTGAAAAAGCGGCTTTTATCGATTTACTAAATTCATTTCATCAGTCGAATATTTAGTCGACATTCAATTATGTGAGTGTATGGAATCACGTCAGGTACCCTTACGAGGGGAGTGTATCAACTTTGGCGTTCGTAATGCCTCTCTACAAAGGAGGGTGTCGCCTTCAAGAGTTAGGTATAAACAGTGGTTTTATACCAGTTTTTTTCCAAATTTATCATGCACTATGGAAAAGCAACAGTCGTTGTTTTAATGGAGCAGTGGTCTCAGAAGAGTGGAACCATGTTTTCATCCATATGTGATACAAATGTAATATGTGGCTCAATTAGAAACAAATAATACTAATCCAAGGTTTTTTTTTCAGGATATTCCAGGAACAATGAAAATTATTGCAGATTCCTCAGAACCTTGGGAGAATTTCATATCCGTTTGCAGGATCATTCACTTTGGAACAGATAGATAAAGTATGGAGCAATCAACAAAACGTAATACTAATCAAGGTTTTTTAGGATATTCCTGGATCGATGCAAACTATCTCTGATGTCTCGCAGAATCTCAAAGAGGATTTGCGAAAAATCCTTATTGGTTTGTACGACAGAATACTTCGAAAGTCTACATTTGTGAATGTCATACCAGATAGATGAATGAAATGAAATTTCAAGATAAGTTTTCATAAACGTTAAATTTGTCTTGCCATTAATACAAATCCTAGTTCTATTCTTCTTCGAACATTCCTCCGTGAAAAAGCGGCTTTTATCGATTTACTAAATTCATTTCATCAGTCGAATATTTAGTCGACATTCAATTATGTGAGTGTATGGAATCACGTCAGGTACCCTTACGAGGGGAGTGTATCAACTTTGGCGTTCGTAATGCCTCTCTACAAAGGAGGGTGTCGCCTTCAAGAGTTAGGTATAAACAGTGGTTTTATACCAGTTTTTTCCAAATTTATCATGCACTATGGAAAAGCAACAGTCGTTATTGTTTCAATGGAGCAGTGCTCTCAGAAGAGTGGAACCATGTTTTCTTTCATATGTGATAGTAATATATGGCCCAATTAGAAACAAATAATACTAATCCAGGGTTTTTTTTTCAGGATATTCCAGGAACAATGAAAATTTTTGCAGATTCCTCAGAACCTTGGGAGAATTTCATATCCGTTTGCAGGATCATTCACTTTGGAACAGATAGATAAAGTATGGAGCAATCAACAAAACGTAATACTAATCAAGGTTTTTTAGGATATTCCTGGATCGATGCAAACTATCTCTGATGTCTCAGAATCTCAAAGAGGATTTGCGAAAAATCCTTATTGGTTTGTACGACAGAATACTTCGAAACTCTACATTTGTGAATGTCATACCAGATAGATGAATGAAATGAAATTTCAAGATAAGTTTTCATAAACGTTAAATTTGTCTTGCCATTAATACAAATCCTAGTTCTATTCTTCTTCGAACATTCCTCCGTGAAAAAGCGGCTTTTATCGATTTACTAAATTCATTTCATCAGTCGAATATTTAGTCGACATTCAATTATGTGAGTGTATGGAATCACGTCAGGTACCCTTACGAGGGGAGTGTATCAACTTTGGCGTTCGTAATGCCTCTCTACAAAGGAGGGTGTCGCCTTCAAGAGTTAGGTATAAACAGTGGTTTTATACCAGTTTTTCCAAATTTATCATGCACTATGGAGAAGCAACAGTCGTTGTTTCAATGGAGCAGTGCTCTCAGAAGAGTGGAACCATGTCTTCTTCCATATGTGATACAATGTAATATATGGCTCAATTAGAAACAAATAATACTAATCCAAGGTTTTTTTCAGGATATTCCAGGAACAATGAAAATTATTGCAGATTCCTCAGAACCTTGGGAGAATTTCATATTCGTTTGCAGGACCATTCACTTCGGAACAGATAGATAAAGTAAATAATATATGGAACAATCAACAAAACGTAGTACTAATCAAGTTTTTTTTAGGATATTCCTGGAACGATGCAAACTATCTCTTGATATGTGATACAATGTAATATATGGCACAATCAGAAACAAATAATACTAATTTGAGTTTTTTCTCAGGATATTCCAGGAACAATGAAAATTATTGCAGATTTCTTAGAATCCTGGGACAATTTCATATTCTTTGGCACAGGTTGGCAGGACAATTCACTTTGAAATAGATGGATAAAGTAAATACAATATGGAGCAATTAACAAAACGTAATACTAATCAAGTTTTTTTAGGATATTCCTGGAAACTATCAATTAGGTCTGAGTAAGTATGGTAAAAGTGCACTTATCATGCGATGGGGTTTTTTTCGAAAATTTTTTCTGGTACTTACGTATTTTCGTCTGAAAAACACGAATTTCATAATGAAAATGTGAACAAACCACTATTTATCGAGATATTTCAAGAAAAAGTTCGAAATTTTGCCTTCTTTTCCCCCTTGTGTTGGATGCATTTACAGGTACTTGCTCTTATTATTTTGTCATTGGACACTTTATATACTCATGATGTACTTCACTGACACATTTTAAGATAGAAAATTCAACAGGAAATATGATTTTTATGGCGAGTTTTTCCTATTTAGTGAGCAAGCATACCAGATGATGGCCATTTAATCCATAATATGCAATCCAAATACGAGATGTCAAATGTCAATAGATTGCTTTGGAATGACATTACACACGCCATTATTTCAAATGATATTCTTCCTTCTTTTCACTAAACATGGATAAATCACAAGAAAATCATATTTCTAGTTGACTCATATAATAAAAAAAATGTGTCCAACATTGTGTGATATATATAAATTGTCCAATGATGGAAAAAGAAGGGCAAATTGTTCTAAATGTGATCCAGAAGACAGGCGGAAAAGATGGTGAAATTTGTAACTTTATAGTGAAATATCTCGATAAATAATGGTTTGTTCACATTTTCATTATGAAATTCGTGTTTTTCAGACGAAAATACGTAAGTACCAGAAAAAATTTTCGAAAAAAACCCCATCGCATGATAAGTGCACTTTTACCGTAAGTATATAGGTTGATAAAAGATCGAAAAGATTTTATTTCCTGAGATCAGTGAGATCATCCACCAAAGGATCCGTTTTTCAAATTGCATCCTCATATTTCTTGTTCTATCTCAGGCTTAGATGGAAAAGGAAGTTCAAACTTATCATTCCAAGCAGAGAAGAATGGAGAAGCAATACTTACAGTGGAGTTTTGCTTGGGAAGCTTGAAGACGAGTGGATTTTCCGAGGGATTTTCATAATCCGATAATAAATTGTCGAAAAATATGTATGTATTCAAATAAATTTGAGCTATATTACACACTCCTGAATGAATTATTTGCGTTGGGCTTGGAAAGTTTAGTTCTTGTCTTCTTGTACCATATTTTGCATCATCTTATCATAATGGCGTTTCGGAAATATTCAAGAAATATCATCTCTAAGTCTGCCAGACACAAACACACACACACACACATTGTCTACTAAGATCATTCCACAAGGAATACAAGGATGATACTTTTCTAGAGGAGTTTAGTTTCTCGAATATTCGGCGTCTAATGTCTAATGTCAGTCTAATGGCATGGCTTCTTAACTTGCTTTTGTTTCACTTACACTACACCTACACTGAATCAAAAGATCCGTGCATTCTTCACCAGAGGTCGCACCTGTCACTTCACTAACTTCACTTGTCAGTTGTCAATGTCACTCATTCGAATAATTGACATCTCATGGTTATGTATGATATGATGTATTATTTTGTCAAGTTTTTTTGAATATTTTGTATAAATTAGGCAACAAGGTGCTACTCGCCGATAATAATTGAACGATTTATTATTTATATTTCTCGTGCGACAGATGTCTGTCAATTTGTGATTTCGTTTCAAGATAAGCCGAACATCAAACACACATGTAAGTACACAGGATATCCCATTTATCAGAACCGACCAGTTCACGGTATTCCCTTTGCATTTCCAGGAATACTGAGGAAGATGACAATTCTTGAGGAAGATGTGATCTCTTTGCGCCCCAAGCAAACTCCAACGGAAAACAAATACATAACCAGTGAGCAAATCAAACGGAAATATTTATTCAAGGAAGACTCAGTGCCACCAAAAAGGCAAGCATTTGACATGTTGAACGGGTATCGAGAAAGAAATGGGGACAACCAAGATTCCCCTGTGTCTACCTTATCCAATATGGGCAACACCTGTTTTTTAAACAGTGTTTTGTACACTTTGCGCTTTGCTCCAACATTCCTGCACAATCTCCATCATCTGATCGGGGATTTGGCTCTAGTGGGCTCGAGGTTGAGTCAAAACAAGGCTAAAACCTCATCTTTGGGCAGGAATATTGGGTCCATCACTGACCCTAGCTCTAGAAGTACCAGCAGCAAAGATCTGCTGTCTCTAGGTGGCTCCAATGACCTCATTCCCAAATCCAAGGTGCAGATTGTCACTGAGAAGCTTCATGAGCTTTTCCAGATCATGCACAACCTGGAAATGAAGGAGTCTATGGATCCTTATCAGCCTGTGGCTTTGCTTCAAGCAATAAGAGAGGCTAATTCAATTTTTGAAGGGAACAATCAGCAAGATGCTCATGAATTGCTGGTTTATTTGCTGGATAATATTCGAGAAACTGGTGATGTTTTGGCTCAGCAAGTGCAGCAGTATCCTGAGCTGTTGAATGAAACTGAGACCACTCCAATGAATAGTAGGAAAATATGGGCTAGAAGACCAGCTTGGGCTAAAAGCTACAAGAAGAAAGATAAAGGTGCTAAAGAAGCTATATCAGGTTTGTGTTGCACTGATGATAATGATATGATGGTTGATTTGTACTCAATTCCCTCTTTTTAATATTTGGTTGGTGTGATAGAATATTTTAAAATCACTCAATTCACACTGATGATAATAATATGATGATTGATTTGTACTCAAATCCCTCCTTTTAATATTTGGTTGGTGTGATAGAATATTTTAAAATCACTCAATTCACACTGATGATAATAATATGATGATTGATTTGTACTCAAATCCCTCCTTTTAATATTTGGTTGGTGTGATAGAATATTTTAAAATCACTCAATTCACACTGATGATAATAATATGATGATTGATTTGTACTCAATTCCCTCTTTTTAATTATGTGGTTGGTGTGGTAGAATATTTTATAATCACTCAATTCACACTGGTGATAATAATATGATGATTGATTTGTACTCAATTCCCTCTTTTTAATTATGTGGTTGGTGTGATAAAATATTTCAAAATCACTCAATTCACACTGATGATAATAATATGATGGTTGATTTGTACTCAATTCCCTCTTTTTGATATGTGGTTGGTGTGATAGAAATATTTTAAAATCACTCAATTTAAACTGATGATAATAATATGATGATTTATTTGTACTCAATTCCCTCTTTTTAATATTTGGTTGGTGTGATAGAATATTTCAAAATCACTCAATTCACACTGATGATAATAATATGATGGTTGATTTGTACTCAATTCCCTCTTTTTAATATGTGGTTGTTGTGATAGAATATTTTAAAATCACTCAATTCACACTGATGATAATAATATGATGATTGATTTGTACTAAATTCCCTCTTTTTAATTATGTGGTTGGTGTGATAGAATATTTTAAAATCACTCAATTCACACTGATGATAATAATGATGATTGATTTGTACTCAATTCCCTTTTTTTAATCATGTGGTTGGTGTGATAGAATATTTTAAAATCACTCAATTCACGCTGATGATAATAATATGATGATTGATTTGTACTCAATTCCCTCTTTTTAATATTTGGTTGGTGTGATAGAATATTTTAAAATCACTCACTTCACACTGATGAATTATAATATGATGATTGATTTGTAGTCAATTCCCTCTTTTTAATTATGTGGTTGGTGTGATAGAATATTTTATGATCACTCAATTCACACTGATGATAATAATATGATGGTTGATTTGTACTCAATTCCCTCTTTTTAATTATGTGGTTGGTGTGATAGAATATTTTAAGATCACTCAATTCACACTGATGACAATAATATGATGATTGATTTGTACTCAATTCCCTCTTTTTAATTATGTGGTTGGTGTGATAGAATATTTTAAAATCACTCAATTCACACTGATGACAATAATATGATGATTGATTTGTACTCAATTCCCTCTTTTTAATATGTGGTTGGTGCGAGGGTTGGTGTGATAGAAATATTTTGAAATCACTCAATTCACACTGATGATAACTCGGATGATAATGATATGATGATTGATTTGTACTCAATTCCCTCTTTTTAATTATGTGGTTGGTGTGATAGAATATTTTAAAATCACTCAATTCACACTGATGACAATAATATGATGATTGATTTGTACTCAATTCCCTCTTTTTAATTATGTGGTTGGTGTGATAGAATATTTTAAAATCACTCAATTCACACTGATGACAATAATATGATGATTGATTTGTACTCAATTCCCTCTTTTTAATATTTGGTTGGTGTGATAGAATATTTTAAAATCACTCAATTCACACTGATGATGATAATATGATGGTTGATTTGTACTCAATTCCCTCTTTTTAATATTTGGTTGGTGTGATGAAAATATTTTGAAATCACTCAATTCACACTGATGATAATAATATGATGGTTGATTTGTACTCAATTCCCTCTTTTTAATATTTGGTTGGTGTGATAGAATATTTTAAAATCACTCAATTCACACTGATGATAATAATATGATGATTGATTTGTACTCAATTCCCTCTTTTTAATTATGTGGTTGGTGTGATAGAATATTTCAAAATCACTCAATTCACACTGATGATAATAATATGATGATTGATTTGTACTCAATTCCCTCTTTTTAATTATGTGGTTGGTGTGATAGAATATTTTAAAATCACTCAATTCACACTGATGATAATAATATGATGATTGATTTGTACTCAATTCCCTCTTTTTAATTATGTGGTTGGTGTGATAGAATATTTTAAAATCACTCAATTCACACTGATGATAATGATATGATGATTGATTCGTACTCAATTCCCTCTTTTAAATATTTGGTTGGTGTGATAAAATATTTTAAAATCACTCAATTTACACTGATGATTATAATATAATTATGATGATTGATTTGTACTCAATTCCCTCTTTTTAATTATTTGGTTGGTGTGATAGAATATTTAAAAATCACTCAATTTACACTGATGATTATAATATAATTATGATGATTGATTTGTACTCAATTCCCTCTTTTTAATTATTTGGTTGGTGTGATAGAATATTTTAAAATCACTCAATTCACACTGATGATAATAATATGATGATTGATTTGTACTCAAATCCCTCCTTTTAATATTTGGTTGGTGTGATAGAATATTTTAAAATCACTCAATTCACACTGATGATAATAATATGATGATTGATTTGTACTCAAATCCCTCCTTTTAATATTTGGTTGGCGTGATAGAATATTTTAAAATCACTCAATTCACACTGATGATAATAATATGATGATTGATTTGTACTCAAATCCCTCCTTTTAATATTTGGTTGGTGTGATAGAATATTTTAAAATCACTCAATTCACACTGATGATAATAATATGATGATTGATTTGTACTCAAATCCCTCCTTTTAATATTTGGTTGGTGTGATAGAATATTTTAAAATCACTCAATTCACACTGATGATAATAATATGATGATTGATTTGTACTCAATTCCCTCTTTTTAATTATGTGGTTGGTGTGGTAGAATATTTTATAATCACTCAATTCACACTGGTGATAATAATATGATGATTGATTTGTACTCAATTCCCTCTTTTTAATTATGTGGTTGGTGTGATAAAATATTTCAAAATCACTCAATTCACACTGATGATAATAATATGATGGTTGATTTGTACTCAATTCCCTCTTTTTGATATGTGGTTGGTGTGATAGAAATATTTTAAAATCACTCAATTTAAACTGATGATAATAATATGATGATTTATTTGTACTCAATTCCCTCTTTTTAATATTTGGTTGGTGTGATAGAATATTTCAAAATCACTCAATTCACACTGATGATAATAATATGATGGTTGATTTGTACTCAATTCCCTCTTTTTAATATGTGGTTGTTGTGATAGAATATTTTAAAATCACTCAATTCACACTGATGATAATAATATGATGATTGATTTGTACTAAATTCCCTCTTTTTAATTATGTGGTTGGTGTGATAGAATATTTTAAAATCACTCAATTCACACTGATGATAATAATGATGATTGATTCGTACTCAATTCCCTTTTTTTAATCATGTGGTTGGTGTGATAGAATATTTTAAAATCACTCAATTCACGCTGATGATAATAATATGATGATTGATTTGTACTCAATTCCCTCTTTTTAATATTTGGTTGGTGTGATAGAATATTTTAAAATCACTCACTTCACACTGATGAATTATAATATGATGATTGATTTGTAGTCAATTCCCTCTTTTTAATTATGTGGTTGGTGTGATAGAATATTTTATGATCACTCAATTCACACTGATGATAATAATATGATGGTTGATTTGTACTCAATTCCCTCTTTTTAATTATGTGGTTGGTGTGATAGAATATTTTAAGATCACTCAATTCACACTGATGACAATAATATGATGATTGATTTGTACTCAATTCCCTCTTTTTAATTATGTGGTTGGTGTGATAGAATATTTTAAAATCACTCAATTCACACTGATGACAATAATATGATGATTGATTTGTACTCAATTCCCTCTTTTTAATATGTGGTTGGTGCGAGGGTTGGTGTGATAGAAATATTTTGAAATCACTCAATTCACACTGATGATAACTCGGATGATAATGATATGATGATTGATTTGTACTCAATTCCCTCTTTTTAATTATGTGGTTGGTGTGATAGAATATTTTAAAATCACTCAATTCACACTGATGACAATAATATGATGATTGATTTGTACTCAATTCCCTCTTTTTAATTATGTGGTTGGTGTGATAGAATATTTTAAAATCACTCAATTCACACTGATGACAATAATATGATGATTGATTTGTACTCAATTCCCTCTTTTTAATATTTGGTTGGTGTGATAGAATATTTTAAAATCACTCAATTCACACTGATGATGATAATATGATGGTTGATTTGTACTCAATTCCCTCTTTTTAATATTTGGTTGGTGTGATGAAAATATTTTGAAATCACTCAATTCACACTGATGATAATAATATGATGGTTGATTTGTACTCAATTCCCTCTTTTTAATATTTGGTTGGTGTGATAGAATATTTTAAAATCACTCAATTCACACTGATGATAATAATATGATGATTGATTTGTACTCAATTCCCTCTTTTTAATTATGTGGTTGGTGTGATAGAATATTTCAAAATCACTCAATTCACACTGATGATAATAATATGATGATTGATTTGTACTCAATTCCCTCTTTTTAATTATGTGGTTGGTGTGATAGAATATTTTAAAATCACTCAATTCACACTGATGATAATAATATGATGATTGATTTGTACTCAATTCCCTCTTTTTAATTATGTGGTTGGTGTGATAGAATATTTTAAAATCACTCAATTCACACTGATGATAATGATATGATGATTGATTCGTACTCAATTCCCTCTTTTAAATATTTGGTTGGTGTGATAAAATATTTTAAAATCACTCAATTCACACTGATGATAATAATATGATGATTGATTTGTACTCAATTCCCTCTTTTTAATATGTGGTTGGTGTGATAAAAATATTTTAAAATCACTCAATTTTTGACACTTGTTTTTCATATTATACAGTGTGATTCATTTGAGTCATATGGTGGTGGTGTTTTTTTGAATATTGGATAAAACCTACTTCACAAAGCAATTCTGTGATATTTTTTTTTCAAATTTAGAGCACCTGTGTAATATTTACAGTAGAAGAGAATTATTAGATATAGATTTCATTCATTCAGTTAAACATTTAAAAATTTAAAAGAGAATTCAAGAAACATCTACTCCTGTAATATTGACATCTTATCTCATTTTTATAGTTTTCTTGTACAACTACTATAGTTTTCAATTGTGTACCTAACAGCTGAGTCAATTGAGGATCATTTTCATTTGAACTTGAAAAAAAAAGATTCTTTTTGAGTGTGAGTCTTATTTTACTGTCTTATTTATTTTATTTTGTCAAAAATATTTATGTATTCACTATGTTCCCTGCTATAAACAAATGTTATTTTATAGTCATGAAGATTTTGAAGAATTTGCTGGGATACTTCAACTGATATTTCAAAATATGCACTTAGGAGCAATTTTTAAATGTAGATATACAGGCTGTAAAATATTTGGCATACAATGATTAACATTTTTCTAATTCCTTATGAAACTTAGGGTTTGTTACAATTTACATGAAGAATAAATATGAACCACAATAAACCCAATAATGAATGACAGAATGACACTTCATTTTGTCAATGGATAACACAAAAGTGTTGACTAGATGTGTGACTAGTGTTGACTATCCAAAACTGATATCTACAGTGTTGCCAAGTTATTAGTATTTCCTTAATTCATATGGGCATTTGAATTTCATTGATTCATATTATTTTTCTTAGAGGAACACATAAATGGTTCCAATTCCACAGACATAGGGGATTCTGGCAGTGTTGACAGCAATAATGAAACTACTGGCAATAGAAAAATAGGTATGAAAAATAGTTTTTCCATTTTTTTTTATTGTTTATTTAGTTATTTATCAAACATATCTTCCAGTCAGAACAAGTTCTGGTATGAGGAAGAACATAATTATAAAATAATAAGTAATAAATATCTATGAAATACACAAGTATGAGTAGAAGTGAACATGAATAATAAATCAGGATATCACAATTAAACAAAACAAGCAATGAACAAAGAAAAGAATTCTAGTTGTGGACATAAATTACTGATAAATTTTAAAGATTTCTCTCAGAAATGATCACTTTTTTTACTTTCTTTTTAAATGTACCTACCTATATTTCTGCAGTTTTTAATTTCATCTGGTAGTTTATTGAACTCAGATAAGGCTGCATGTGTGAATCTTTTTTGTTCCAGTGTAGAACTAGCAGCATCAAGGATGATCATGTTATTTTTTTTCTCCTTCCACTGACTAACTAAAATCAATTTCCTCATTGAGAACAATTAAAATATTAAATACATTTTTATATTATCTAAAAATAACTATAAAAAACATGAAATGTTGCCTATGTATTTTATCACATCAAATTTCTGAATTCTCAATCAACCATGATTTGATTTTTTTCTTGAATTCAAAAAAACTGATTTTTTTTTTAAGAAAGAGGCAGTTTATGGAAGACAATACAGTACTTCTAATGATTTTCAATATAATGTTGATATTTTATTGAAATTATTTTCAGAACAAGATCCCCAAACATTCATTGAATAGTTAATTCCACTTAGTATATTATGTGAATAATAATAATAATAGTGATAATAATATAAGTTTATTCAAAAACGTTTACAAAATATACATTGGAATAAACAGATAGGTAATTTGAATAAACTGGGAAAAACCTTTGGAAGTTAACCTTGTAGTAAGGATAAAAAAAAATGTACATAGGTCAATAAATATTTAACAATATCAAATTATCACAAGGGAAAAATTGTCTCATTAAGAAATGAGACAAGTATTTAATTCATAATAATATACAGGGTGGGCCACCAGTAACGCCTCGGTCTCTAGAAGGCTAACCACTTATCTTCTTAGAATTCTTCCTCTCTAGGAAGTTGCATGTCAACATAGGCTACCATTTAAAATTATTTCGAAACATACAGGGTGTCCCCAAAAACCATAAAACACTGAAGTTAAACTTTTTTCTATCGAACACCCTATATATTACTCCATTATGAAATTCTCCCTGATGAGCTGATTTCAACGACCCATCATACTTGGGGTCTAGCAGTTATAATTACTGAAATATAGGGTGTGAAAAATCGAGATTTTCCAAGTTCAAGAATTTTTTGTGTCGAAACTATTCATAATTGGTCAAAACGGCTCACATGTCCCTATCTCATCTTTTGATTAACTATCTACTGATATTTAATTGGGACATATACCGGGTGATCAAGATTCTGAATTCTGCACCACCCTGTATTTGTTTCAATTAAATGTCAGTAGATAGTTGATCAAAAGTTGAGATAGGGACATGTGAACCGTTTTGACCAATTATGAATGGTTTAGACACAAAAAATTCTTGAACTTGGAAAATCTCGATTTCTCACACCCTATATCTCAGTAATTATAACTGCTAGACCCCAAGTATGATGGGTAGTTGAAATTAGCTCATCAGGGAGAATCTCAAAATGAAATAATATATAGGGTGTTCGATAGAAAAAAGTTTAACTTCAGTGTTTTATGGTTTTTGGGGACACCCTGTATGTTTCGAAATAATTTTAAATGGTAGCCTATGTTGACATGCAACTTCCTAGAGAGGAAGAATTCCAAGAAGATAAGTGGTTAGCCTTCTAGAGACCGAGGCGTTACTGGTGGCCCACCCTGTATAGGTAAGGAATTAAAAATTTATAATTTCTATGTCCAAATGACTTGTTTGTTTTATATTTCAATTTTCATATTGATTTTTGTACTTCTTCTCAATGCACCAATAAAAGGAGATATTTTCTTTGTCAGAACCTCAATATGTTTATCCCACTTCAATTTTTCATCAAACCAAATACCTAAATACTTTATCTGTTCAGTTTGTTTCAAGAATTCATTCTTCATTTGAAGATTGAGCTGCATTTTCTGTTTATTTTTTTGTTGTAAAATCATGTATTCAGTTCTTCTGGTATTCATTGATAATAATTATATCTGAGAATATTACTTTTCAATACAGAAAAGGATGTTTTTAAAGCCATGTAATCATGTTATGATAGAAGAAATGTTTCATCGGAATTTTATAAAAATCTGTCAAATAATTATTGATAAAATCAAGCAATTATGATTAAAAAAAGGGTTTTTTGGGGTTTTTAATGTCGTATCGAATTCCTCTGGATAGGATACAACTTTGTGGCCGAAGATTTCGAGGGCATCACGTTGAGACGTACGAAATGTTTGGAATGCGAGTGCGTGACAGAACGGAAAGAACCGTTCTACGACATTCCCGTGCCGATTTCCGTCAAAGACGACGATCGAGAATCGACGAACGTCTCGAACGAGCACGACATTTTCCGAAGAGCGTGCGTCACCACGGAGAAATTGTGCGACGCCAACAAATACCTGTGCGAAACATGCTCGAGATACAACGAGGCTAGCAGAGAGGTGATTTTTATAGCTTTATCTACATACATTTCGAAATTTAGATTTTTTTATTTTTGACCCCCTGAAAAAAATTTTTGGTACGCCCCTGAGAAAGTCATAGTTTCGATATACCGGTATATTTTTATTAGTGCCCTTGAAAAATGTATCGTACGCCTATGGAGATGTGATAGAAGCGCCTCTGAAGGAGTTGAAATTTTCAAATCCTGACATTTTTCATTTTTTCATTTTCAGCAGAGGTGATTTTTATAGTTATATCTACATACATTTCGAAATTTTCAATTTTTTCAATTTTTGACCCCCTGAAAAAAAATTGGTGCGCCCCTGAGAAAGTCATAATTTCGATATTCCGACTTTTTTTATTAGTGCCCTTGAAATAATGTATCGTACGCCTATGGAATTGTGAGAGAAGCGCCCCAGGAGTTGAAATTTCGAAATCCTGACATTTTTCATTTTTCCATTTTTAGCAGAGAGGTGATTTTTATAGTTTTATCTACATACATTTCGAATTTTTTATTTATTTTTGACCCCCTGAAAAAAAATTTGGTACGCCCCTGAGAAAGTCATAGTTTCGATATGCCGGTATTTTTTTGTTAGTGCCCTTGAAAAATGTATCGTACGCCTATGGAGATGTGATAGAAGCGCCTCTGAAGGAGTTGAAATTTCCAAATCCTGACATTTTTCATTTATTCATTTTCAGCAGAGGTGATTTTTATAGCTTTATCTACATACATTTCGAAATTTTGATTTTTTTTATTTTTGACCCCCTGAAAAAAAAATTTGGTACGCCCCTGAGAAAGTCATAGTTTCGATATACCGGTATTTTTTTGTTAGTGCCCTTGAAAAATGTATCGTACGCCTATGGAGATGTGATAGAAGCGCCTCTGAAAGAGTTGAAATCTCCAAATCCTGACATGTTTCATTTATTCATTTTCAGCAGAGGTGATTTTTATAGCTTTATCTACATACATTTCGAAATTTTGAATTTTTTTTCAGTTTTTGACCCCCTGAAAAAAAATTTTGGTACGCCCCTGAGAAAGTCATAGTTTCGATATACCGGTATTTTTTTGTTAGTGCCCTTGAAAAATGTATTGTACGCCTATGGAGATGTGATAGAAGCGCCTCTGAAGGAGTTGAAATTTCGAAATCCTGACATTTTTCCATTTTTAGCAGAGAGGTGATTTTTATAGCTTTATCTACATACATTTCGAAATTATGAAATTATTTTATTTTTGACCCCCTGAGAAAAAAATTTGGTGCGCCCCTGAGAAAGTCATAGTTTCGATATACCGGTATTTTTTTGTTAGTGCCCTTGAAAAATGTATCGTACGCCAATGGAGATGTGATAGAAGCGCCTCTGAAGGAGTTGAAATTTTCAAATCCTGACATTTATCCTTTTTTCATTTTCAGCAGAGGTGATTTTTATAGTTTTATCTACATTCTATTCGAAATTTTGAATTTTTTTCAATTTTTGACCCCCTGAAAAAAAAATTTGGTACGCCTCTGAAAAAGTCATAATTTCGATATTCCGACATTTTTTATTAGTGCCCTTAAAAATGTATCGTACGCTTATGGAGTTGTGAGAGAAGCGCCCCTGTAGGAGTTGAAATTTCCAAATCCTGACATTTTTCTATTTTTCATTTTCAGCAGAAAGGTGATTCTTATAGTTTTATCTACATACATTTCGAAATTATGACATTTTTCTTATTTTTGACCCCCTGAGAAAAAAATTTGGTGCGCCTCTGAAAAAGTCATAATTTCGATTTCACATTTTTTTATTTGTGCCCTTGAAAAATGCATCGTACGCCTATGGAGTTGTGAAAAAAGCGTGATTCTTATATTTTTATCTACATACATTTCGAAATTGTTTTTTTTTTAATTTTTGACCCCCTGAAAAAAAGTTTTGGGCGCTCCTGAAAAATTCGTGATTTTGATATTCCGGCATTTTTTATTTGTGTCCTTGAAAAATACATCGTACGTCTATGGAGTTGTGAGAGAAGCACCCCTGAAGGAATCGAAATTTCGAAATTCTGACATTTCTCATTTTTGCCTTTTGAAAAAAGAATTGTACGCCTATGGAATTGAGTATAAAAAAATTGGTGCGTCCCTGAAAAAGTTGTTTGGGAATTCTAAATTTTTTTTATTTGTTGACCCCCTGAGAAAAAAATTTTGGTGCGCTAATGAGAAAGTCATAATTTCGATGTTCCGACATTTTTTCATTTATGCCCTTGAAAAATGTATCGTATGCCTATGGAAAATCCGACAATTTTTATTCCTGCCATATAAAAAAAAGTTGTACGCCTATGAAATCGTGATGTAAATATCAAAATCATTTCTCTATTTTAGTTCCATTAGAAAAAAAAATATGTGCAACCCTGAAGAAATTACATGACTCATTTCAGATCGAATCAGACAAAAAATTGTGCGCCACTGAAGGGATAATGTTGAAAAGAAGGAAAGCGTAATTCCGAAATTCCAACATTTTTTATTTTTTCGTCCGTAAAAAATATTGTACGCCCATGAAATCATGATGTCAATTTAAACAGCATAATTAATTATCGGCTAATTCTAGAATTAGATAATTATGTCGGAATTACTGTTGGATAATATGAGCAAATCATCACATCAGAACATAATCTGGTGTAAAGTAGAGTCCCTGTATATACCTTAGACAAGAGTCCGGACACAGCTATACTTCTGTCCTTTTCTGTTTTCAAAAAATGCATTGATGATTGAATAAAGGAATAAGACATATATATCGAGCTCTGTCTTTTCAATTCCCCTAGTATCAATGATTGTCAGAAACAATTTTGAGGGTTAGATTATTTGTCAAACCGTTCATAGCCGTAGGTAGTAGTGAGAAATAGGGCTATTTCAACTAGAATAACTATTAGATTTTCAAATACTGAACAACAGGGTGTTCAAATTTCGATTCGATAATTTTCATAATCAATTCCTGAGATGGCTATTGCAAATTTTCGTCATCAGATATTTCTTCACTTCATTAGATATAAGAAAGATAATTTAAGTGTTCTACGTGGTATCACATATAGCCAAGAAAATATAGTTGTTTTCTGTTGGGATATAAAAAAATAGAAGATATATAATTGTTTCAATATAATTTTCTCCGATTCTCTCAATTCAATAACACTCAGCAGAAATAAAAGTGACAAAATCAAAACAACAATATATATGTGTTCTATTTTCCTCGATAGTGTTCTGATTGTAGGAAATGGAAATTTTAATTTCAACAGGTGTTCATATCCAGTGGTACCACAAGAGAATTTGATAGCGAGTGCTTTATTAATTGTGTGTGTGAATTTGATCTGAATTAAAAGCTCCGTGGACTGATGACGTAGCACATTGCAATTTCTCTAAATCTTCTAGTTTTGATTTCAAACTTTCAATTTCTTTCCGCATCCATTCCCATTTTCTTTCTCTGCGATCGTATCATTCAGTAATTCCCAATACGATGACGACGAAACTTTTCGTTTCATGAACGTCTTTATTTTATAAATTGACAGCACATCAGACTCTTTCAATTTGGTATCCATCATCTTGAAAGTATCTCTATCAAAATGGGCCTAAAATTCATCTTTTTCGTACAGTTTTTACAAGAAAATTTGAATATTTACCTCACGCGGATTTCTTGAAATTAATTTTCCATTCTGGACGTTTCATTGCATTCTTCCATAACGTTATCTTTAAAGGATCATTCGGAAAATTGAATAACTTGAATCCATTTTCTCGTGAATTATCGCAATAATGTACGCAGCAGGACATTGAAATAATTCAAAATGCTAAATTTTGGCGGTCATGAAATTTCAAAGTGACAGTGACAGAAATTCGAAATAATTAAAAAAAGCGGGCGGGACGACTATGGTGTTTCGTCACATTGTCAGGTGGGCAAACCAAATGAAACAAAATATTAAAAACCCCAACGGCTGTCAGTTTTGTGTGCAGACTGGTCAAAGGTATATACAGGGACTCTAGTGTAAAGTAGAACCATAGGTTAATGACTCCGAAATGATACAATTTTTGCGTACCCTCTGGTTCCAGATTTTTTTTTTTTTCATAAAATATCAGTCACCGTTGGATACATTGGAGAATTATCTCGGAACGATTTCGAAATTTTCCACTAATTTCGAATTATGACTGGTCCGTGTCAAAACATTTCAATTTTATTCCACATGGTTCAGACAAAATTTCGAAATTCATACATATTGTAATATTAACGCCATCAAACAGAATTTGTTGTGTGTGTGTATTTTTTCATTTTCTCAAATCGAATCCATTTTTCCAGGTATTATTCGAGAAACTGCCCAAAATGATGGTCCTCCAACTGAAAAGATTCACCACGACGACATCTGGCGTCCAAAAAGTGAACACTTACCTGCCCACTCCGCTCGTCCTACGCTGCTTTTGCGAAACCTGCTGCAAGGTTCGTCAAAAAACTGACCAAACAATAAATACATAAAACCATAAAACTGGTTATACAGGGTGTTTCAGATTCAAATGTACAGTCGTGTGTCTAATGTTCGATGCTTTTGCGCGATATCTCAGTTATCTTTGGAGATAGAGAAATGCGGTTTGCACATTATTTTCTTACTGTTCGTGAAACGAATTAACGACTTTGAGCGTCGATATCTCAAAAACTATCTGTCCTATCGGGCTGATTATGGTCTCATTCGATTCAGCGTGTCATTTTCTACTGGAAAAGCGATAATTCGCGTGGATTTTTGCCGTTTTCTGGCACTTTCGGCCGTCCGAAGATGGCTCGGTGACTTTATCGTATGGAGGTCTTAGGTGAGAAAATGAAAATTTTTATTTGGCCTATTAAAATTCTGAAAAAATTCACATAGACTAATTCAATGTCGAAATGAACGAAATCGTGGTGAAAATCGGGTAATTTTGAAAAATAGAGCCGTAGTATCCTACCGGAGTGCTGCTATTGGCAATAAAAGCGAAAAGTTGACTTTGAGCGTCGATATCTCAAAAACTATCTGTCCTATCGGGCTGATTATGGTCTCATTCGATTCAGCGTGTCATTTTCTACTGGAAAAGCGATAATTCGCGTGGATTTTCGCCGTTTTCTGGCACTTTCGGCCGTCCGAAGATGGCGCGATGACTTTATCGTATGGAGGTCTTAGGTGAGAAAATGAAAATTTTTATTTGGCCTATTAAAAATCTGAAAAAATTCACATAGACTAATTCAATGTCGAAATGAACGAATCCGTGGTGGAAATCGGGTAATTTTGAAAAATAGAGACGTAGTAGCCTACCGGAGTGCTTCTATTGGCAATAAAAGCGAAAAGTTGACTTTGAGCGTCGATATCTCAAAAACTATCTGTCCTATCGGGCTGATTATGGTCTCATTCGATTCAGCGTGTCATTTTCTACTAGAAAAGCGATAATTCGCGTGGATTTTTGCCGTTTTCTGGCACTTTCGGCCGTCCGAAAATGGCTCGGTGACTTTATCGTATGGAAGTCTTAGGTGAGAAAATGAAAATTTTTATTTGGCCTATTAAAAATCTGAAAAAATTCACATAGACTAATTCAATATCGAAATGAACGAATCCGTGGTGGGTGGAAATCGGGTAATTTTGAAAAATAGAGACGTAGTAGCCTACCGGAGTGCTTCTATTGGCAATAAAAGCGAAAATTTGACTTTGAGCGTCGATATCTCAAAAACTATCTGTCCTATCGGGCTGATTATGGTCTCATTCGATTCAGCGTGTCATTTTCTACTGGAAAAGCGATAATTCGCGTGGATTTTCGCCGTTTTCTGGCACTTTCGGCCGTCCGAAGATGGCGCGATGACTTTATCGTATGGAGGTCTTAGGTGAGAAAATGAAAATTTTTATTTGGCCTATTAAAAATCTGAAAAAATTCACATAGACTAATTCAATGTCGAAATGAACGAATCCGTGGTGGAAATCGGGTAGTTTTGAAAAATATGAGGACGTAGTAGCCTACCGGAGTGCTTCTATTGGCAATAAAAGCGAAAATTTGACTATGAGCGTCGATATCTCAAAAACTATCTGTCCTATCGGGCTGATTATGGTCTCATTCGATTCAGCGTGTCATTTTCTACTGGAAAAGTGATAATTCGCGTGGATTTTTTGCCGTTTTCTGGCACTTTCGGCCGTCCGAAGATGGCTCGATGACTTTATCGTATGGAAGTCCTTAGGTGAGAAAATGAAAAATTTTTATTTGGCCTATTAAAAATCTGAAAAAATTCACATAGACTAATTCAATGTCGAAATGAACGAATCCGTGGTGGAAATCGGGTAGTTTTGAAAAATAGAGACGTAGTAGCCTACCGGAGTGCTTCTATTGGCAATAAAAGCGAAAATTTGACTTTGAGCGTCGATATCCTCAAAAACTATCTGTCCTATCGGGCTGATTATGGTCTCATTCGATTCAGCGTGTCATTTTACTACTGGAAAAGTGATAATTCGCGTGGATTTTTGCCGTTTTCTGGCACTTTTCGGCCGTCCGAAGATGGCTCGGTGACTTTATCGTATGGAAGTCTTAGGTGAGAAAATGAAAAATTTTTATTTGGCCTATTAAAAATCTGAAAAAAATTCACATAGACTAATTCAATGTCGAAATGAACGAATCCGTGGTGGAAATCGGGTAGTTTTGAAAAATAGAGACGTAGTAGCCTACCGGAGTGCTTCTATTGGCAATAAAAGCGAAAATTTGACTTTGAGCGTCGATATCTCAAAAACTATCTGTCCTATCGGGCTGATTATGGTCTCATTCGATTCAGCGTGTCATTTTCTACTGGAAAAGTGATAATTCGCGTGGATTTTTGCCGTTTTCTGGCACTTTCGGCCGTCCGAAGATGGCTCGGTGACTTTATCGTATGGAAGTCTTAGGTGAGAAAAATGAAAATATTTTATTTGGCCTATTAAAAATCTGAAAAAATTCACATAGGACTAATTCAATGTCGAAATGAACGAATTCCGTGGTGGAAATCGGGTAATTTTGAAAAATAAGAGACGTAGTAGCCTACCGGAGTGCTGCTATTGGCAATAAAAGCGAAAAGTTGACTTTGAGCGTCGATATCTCAAAAACTATCTGTCCCTATCGGGCTGATTATGATCTCATTCGATTCAGCGTGTCCATTTTCTACTGGAAAAGTGATAATTCGCGTGGATTTTTGCCGTTTTCTGGCACTTTCGGCCGTCCGAAAATGGCTCGGTGACTTTATCGTATGGAAGTCTTAGGTGAGAAAATGAAAATTTTTATTTGGCCTATTAAAAATCTGAAAAAATTCACATAGACTAATTCAATGTCGAAATGAACGAATCCGTGGTGGAAATCGGGTAGTTTTGAAAAAATAGAGACGTAGTAGCCTACCGGAGTGCTTCTATTGGCAATAAAAAGCGAAAATTTGACTTTGAGCGTCGATATCTCAAAAACCTATCTGTCCTATCGGGCTGATTATGGTCTCATTCGATTCAGCGTGTCATTTTCTACTGGAAAAAGCGATAATTCGCGTGGATTTTCGCCGTTTTCTGGCACTTTCGGCCGTCCCGAAGATGGCGCGATGACTTTATCGTATGGAGGTCTTAGGTGAGAAAATGAAAATTTTTATTTGGCCTATTAAAAATCTGAAAAAATTCACATAGACTAATTCAAATGTCGAAATGAACGAATCCGTGGTGGAAATCGGGTAGTTTTTGAAAAATAGAGACGTAGTAGCCTACCGGAGTGCTTCTATTGGCAATAAAAGCGAAAATTTGACTTTGAGCGTCGATATCTCAAAAACTATCTGTCCTATCGGGCTGATTATGGTCTCATTCGATTCAGCGTGTCATTTTCTACTGGAAAAGTGATAATTCGCGTGGATTTTTGCCGTTTTCTGGCACTTTCCGGCCGTCCGAAGATGGGCTCGGTGACTTTATCGTATGGAAGTCTTAGGTGAGAAAATGAAAATTTTTTATTTGGCCTATTAAAAATCTGAAAAAATTCACATAGACTAATTCAATGTCGAAATGAACGAATCCGTGGTGGAAATCGGGTAGTTTTGAAAAAATAGAGACGTAGTAGCCTACCGGAGTGCTTCTATTGGCAATAAAAGCGAAAATTTGACTTTGAGCGTCGATATCTCAAAAACTATCTGTCCTATCGGGCTGATTATGGTCTCATTCGATTCAGCGTGTCATTTTCTACTGGAAAAGTGATAATTCGCGTGGATTTTTGCCGTTTTCCTGGCACTTTCGGCCGTCCGAAGATGGCTCGGTGACTTTATCGTATGGAAGTCTTAGGTGAGAAAATGAAAATTTTTATTTGGCCTATTAAAAAATCTGAAAAAAATTCACATAGACTAATTCAATGTCGAAATGAAACGAATCCGTGGTGGAAATCGGGTAATTTTGAAAAATAGAGACGTAGTAGCCTACCGGAGTGCTGCTATTGGCAATAAAAGCGAAAAGTTGACTTTGAGCGTCGATATCTCAAAAACTATCTGTCCTATCGCTCTGATTATAATCTCATTGGATTCAGCGTGTCATTTTCTACTGGAAAAGCGATAATTCGCGTGGATTTTTGCCGTTTTTCCTGGCACCTTCGGCCGTCCGAAGATGGCTCGGTGACTTTATCGTATGGAAGTCTTAGGTGAGAAAAATGAAAATTTTTATTTGGCCTATTAAAAATCTGAAAAAATTCACATAGACTAATTCAATGTCGAAATAAACGAATCCGTGGTGGAAATCGGGTAATTTTGAAAAATAGACACGTAGTACCCTACCGGAGTGCTTCAATTGGCAATAAAAGCGAAAAGTTGACTTTGAGCATCGATATCTCAAAAAGTATCTGTCCTATCGGGCTGATTATGGTCTCATTCGATTCAGCGTGTCATTTTCTACTGGAAAAAGCGATAATTCGCGTGGATTTTCGCCGTTTTTCTGGCACTTTCGGCCGTCCGAAGATGGCGCGATGACTTTATCGTATGGAGGTCTTAGGTGAGAAAATGAAAATTTTTTATTTGGCCTATTAAAAATCTGAAAAAATTCACATAGACTAATTCAATGTCGAAATGAACGAATCCGTGGTGGAAATCGGGTAATTTTGAAAAATAGAGACGTAGTAGCCTACCGGAGTGCTTCTATTGGCAATAAAAGCGAAAATTTGACTTTGAGCGTCGATATCTCAAAAACTATCTGTCCTATCGGGCTGATTATGATCTCATTCGATTCAGCGTGTCATTTTCTACTAGAAAAGTGATAATTCGCGTGGATTTTTGCCGTTTTCTGGCACTTTCCGGCCGTCCGAAGATGGCTCGGTGACTTTATCGTATGGAAGTCTTAGGTGAGAAAATGAAAATTTTTATTTGGCCTACTAAAAATCTGAAAAAATTCACATAGACCAATTCAATGTCGAAATGAACGAATCCTTGATGGAAATCGGGTGATTTTGAAAAATAGAGAC